GATAAAAGCCATAGTCAAGATAACAGACATACTATTACAAACGATCGAAAAACATGTTTTTTATGTTTAGGCCGATGAAATGGCCATTGGTGCTTTCATGTGCTATTTTTTTATGATGTTTTTCAAATATCGACAATGTGATGCAGCGATCACTCGAGCTGTACGTTAATATATTGTTTTATTAACAATTCGATAAGTATTATGTTGAGTGATGTAGGATGAACTTCGTCGATGTCATTTATATGCTAAACGAAAACTACAAGAGAAACCGGATACATATGAACAAGAAATGATCGAAAGAGAAATTACAGCATCTGCAAACGGTAAGCTTTTTTCGACGAAGGGGAAGAAAGTAATTGATTGTTTTTAATTAAAGAATTAAATCAACTTCGAACAAAATTTAATTTACGTAGCTGTTTAAAATGGCGTGAGCATATCGATCAAACGAAAAGTAAGGTGAGAAATGATTTATGTAGGCTATCTGAAACTTTTATTAAAATTAGATCTTTTTATTGTTAAGGTTTATAATATTATCGCTAACAAAATGAGTGTTCGATTTGATTGGTTCGATATTACGGAAGAAATGTCAATTAAGGAAATTTGTCATAAAAAAGCCGTCAATTTGGTATGGAAGAAATATGATTATTTTTTTGTATTTAATTCACTTTGTCTTTCATAGGTTCTAACAGATGGTTTTGCCTTCTATAAAGTGTTAAAACAAGAAATAGTGACATCTGAAAGAAAATTTATTTTAATTAATAAACAAACTCGACAAATCATTGTTGACAAATCAATATGTGAAAGTAAGAAGCAAGCATATAGCTAATGAAGTAATAGTATATTGTGTAACACTTTGTCGTGGATTTTGTTAGCAACAGATGAACCGATTAACCTTGATTCGACCACCTATAATATGCCTAAATTTTAACGGTTTCATTTGGATACTGCCTGAACGCAACGGTTAGATTTTACCGCTTCACTTTATATTCTACTGAATGACAGTAGGGTGTACTATCAATATGAACTGATGACATTCACTCATTATTTATCTGGCAAAGCAGCAAGACATATCTTCAAAGCACTCGTTTTCGTCTGGGATCCGCACGGACCCTAGGCAGACTGATCAGGGTTAAACTTGAGACAGTTTCCTAGAAATCGTGCAGATTAAGTTGTATTCATGTTTGTTTTAAGTGCGAAATATTCATATCTCTTCTTGTCCAACAGTTTATATTTTCTTTGTTTACAGATGACGACGATAGTCTTCATGCCTTAGTGAAAAGAGGTAGCTCTTGAATCATTAACACATAAACTGAAACCTGTTATTATGACTACTTCTTCTTATAAGCCAATGTACGTGCGATACTCTCAGTGGCAGCTGTTGGTGAAAATGCTGAAGTTAAAGCCGAAAGATATCCACAATATGAGGTAAATGAAAAAGTATAATTTTAATCAATTAAATATACTTAAAGAATTTAAAAATGCAACAACAGTTCACGATCATCAATCATTTACTTTTTTTATAAGAGTTTTTCTCATCAAGTTCGTAATCTCTTTATTTTAGGTTTATGTTAATGCACCATCTGCAAATAAAGTTTTACCAGAAAAATCAATATTTTTATATCAAATATTTCCGAATTCAATAAAAGTTTATCATGGTTTTATTATAAAAGCATGCATGGTTGGACATTTAGAAGTTATTCAACATTTAGTGGAATTCTTTCGCATATTATATCCAAATTTCATTAATATGCAAGACTCAAATACAGGAAACACGGCTTTGCATATTGCTTGTCGATATAATCAAGCGGTATGTATAATTATTCTTTTTATTACTTAAAGTATATATTCACATTTTTTAGACCGTTGGTCAATATTGCTTAGATAACGGAGCAGACGTTGACAGCATTAATAAAGATGGGAATACACCATTATTTTTGGCTGCAGAGGCAATGTCGAAACAATGTGCAAAGGTAAAAATTCTTTAGTCAAATATTAGAATTTAAGTTAGTGGTTGTTTTCAGTTATTGTTGGAATATGGTGCAGATGTTACAATCGTCAATAATCGGAAAAAGACAATCTTTGAAGCTTGTGTGGGTGATGAATTTCGACAGATTTTAACGCGTAAGTCATATTGAAAAACAGATCCATCTAAGTAGGAAAAATTCATCCTTTCATTGTAGATGTTTGCTCATTTATAACGTCTGTTGTACCTCCATTAACTAAAGGCGACACTGAAGTTCTTGAAGCAGTGATTCAGGATCATATTGAAAATAAATATACATTGAGTTCATTAAACAGCAGGTCAATACTGCTATTCTTAGAGTTTCATGAATACAATTGATTCTACTTGTGTAGATTTATAAATGGATCAACTCTTTTACATACGGCATGTTATTTTAAAAATCTACCAGTAGTAACACGTTTATTAAATATGGGAATGAATCCCGATGTCAGAGATTATAAAGGACAAACAACATTGCACAGAACCAAAGATCCAAAACTGTTAAAGGTTTTATACTTAGCACTGTCAATCTATTCACAACTAAAATGTATTCTTCCCTTTCGATTATAGTTTTTAATCGAGTCAAATGCGACTATTGATGCTCCCGATCATGATGGAAATACCCCATTGCATATTAAATGCTTAGGTGAAACGGGTAAACCAAGTGAATTGAAAACAATAAAAATATTACATGAATACGGAGCAGAATTGTGTAAGCGTAATTATAAAGTAAGAAACTCAGATTCATTACTCTCATACCGATAAATAACAGTACCCATTTATTAGTCGAAAATGCCATTCCATCTAGCTGCTGAAAATGGGCAAACAGATGCGCTTAAATTATTGCTTCTACTCGGTGAGAAAGACATTCGTGAATCAATTGCATCTGAGACAGCAGAATCTGTACCATCGACACTTACACTCGCGTTACGTGCAGGACATTTGGACACAGCAGTCTACCTAGCTGAAAATGACTTTCAATTTAAAAACGATGAGCCAAAAATATTGATGAATGAAATCTTAACGGAAAAAATTCCGACGTATGATGTGTAATTAGCTGTAAATAAGTTATTGCACTTACGAATTTTTATTTTATATAATAGATCAGAACCTGAGCGTATTTTGAAATTTTTGTGTGAAAAAGGGGGTGCAAACTTATCCATGATGTACGATGGCGGCGACACGTAAGCAAGTATGATTAGTGTTTGATCCATTTTAATAGAGTTTTTGTTAAAATAGAGCGTTGCACTTGGCAGCGGCAATGGCATCAACAGAGCCTTTGAAATTGCTAATACAAGCGGGTGCAGATGTGAGTACAGTCAATAATTCGAAAGAAACTCCGTTATTTATAGCTACGCGAACAAACAATATGGATGCAGCAGAAATATTAATTAGAAATGGTATTGATTATCGGCAAAAAAATGCTCAAGGTAGAAGTAAACGAACACATTCAGATGTTTTTGTTCAAGACATATATTTGCTTTGTTAAGGTTTGACGGCATTTGATTATATTATGGATATTGATGAATGGCTAGCAACAAATAGATTTGACGAAGAAACGAGAGCTCGTTTGAAAGGTTTTTTTATGTCTAATTCCATCTGAATGATGCCTTTAAATAATATTTTTTGCTTCAGCATATAAATTCAAGGATATTCGAAATCTGATGTATAACGTATCGACAAAATTAATGCGTTTTGAAGGTAGTCCACTTCAAAATCAAAACAATCAATTAAGAAAAAATTTTCTACGACTAAATAGTGAACAAGAACTTACTGAATTTGTCGTATCAGATTCACCACGTTTGAAAAAAGTTTCTTATCATCCTCACTATTTTAATTAAATGTTCAATTAGTCACGTTTTTGAAACAATGCTTTCAGTCTTTCGGTTGTCAAACAATTATTTTTATAATAAATCTTTTTTTGTGTTTGATATTCATTATTATTCGAAGATTAGATGCATAATAATCACCAATCTAAAGCCTCTTGTTTCTATCCAGTGCATCTAAAACTAGATTTTGAAAAGTTCCCATTAAGTTCCTCTTTTTTTCTGCATGCTGCAACTGATTCAAACAAAACTTTCAGGATTCTGGTATGAATAGATAATGATAAAACTTTCAGGTATTACTATTGAAGTACTAATGAGTTATAGCTAATGAGTGGTGCAAAATGGGGCGAATAATACGGAACATTTTTCTCAGATTTGCCACTAGATACAGAGCAAGGCGCGTTTTAAACAAACCTAAAACTTAACAGAAGAAATTTCTAAAATTCCGTTGCTTCGTAGCGTGCGTTTCAAGCGGAGATTTTGCCACCTTTTTCTTATCCCTGTCCATGGTCTTCTTATTTCGATAGCGACTTCCTATACAAAAACTAAGTCATTTTTAATTACAATAACCAAATCAATACAGAACAAAATGTGGTCTTAAAAAATCCTGTCCTCAATAACGCGAGAAGATAGGGCATATGTAGCAGAGGTGGGCGATGGACTATCTTTAGCTCCCTCGCGAGGACTCCTCGCAAACTTCCTACCTCGTCATTGTCCTGTACCTCGTCAAGTTTCGATAAATGTACTTCACAGGGATCGCCCCGTACACTTTCTGCTCCGTCGCCGCCTCGTCCACCGTAAACTCTTGATGACCTCTGACACCTTCGCATCGGTCCTCCAGAGTCAGAACATCTCTGCTAACATAAGCTATTCATTGCTTCATCCTGGTTCACAAAAAGAACCATCACCTTTATTTTAAAAGTAGATCAAAATAAACATAGCATCTTTCGCTCACAAGAAAAAATGTCCTTCACGGGATCCGCGTCGTGAAGTTCTTGCCTCGGCTCGCCCTGTACCTCGAGAAGCTTTCAAAGAATCTTCCTCGAGGGATCCGCTCGGTGAAGAATCGTGGGACCTCGCGAGGATCCTCGTCCATCGCTTACCTCCTCTGATGTGTAGGTAATATAAGAAGACAACAAGAATAACAAATTGAACTCGATCGCTCTATTATTTCTTTTAATAAATTTCTACTTCATGTATTTTGTCCTTCGATATCTAGAAAGATGTCGAATCTGAACTCAACAAAGCGGAAAATTTGTTTTGCCTAATGTTTTGTGTCCCCAGTTTCAAGTTGAAAGAAGGACAGTCAGTTGTTAACATTCAAGTGTAAGCCGATTTCTCTAGAATGGAAACAAATTCTAAAGATCGCCCTAATCAATCTCTATATTTTTGTCTTACCTTTCAAACAAAAACAATAATTAACATTTTTCGGCCGTTCCAAAGAAAATGGTACGTTATTAAATGAGCAATAGCTATACCGCTGATGCTAACGAGAAAATCTGGTGTTTATCCCTTGTTATATTTTCAGGCTTGATGAAAATCTTTCGAATTTTCTCCCATGGCATCGTATAGAATTATATCGCTTCTTATTTAGAAGAAAAAAATGTCAGTTCAGCAAAAACGTGTCATATAAAAGAAAAATTCAAGCATTACGTAATAAGAAATAAACTATATCTCAACAATGATGGTTCCTGATTTATTACCTCTACAAAAACATTAGCCAGAGTAAAAAAAAAATGGCACAAATTTTCGAAATAGACACTTTAAATTACTCATTTATAAATATATCGAAATTTGAAGTTTCGATGTAAAAAAGACTTCAAAGTCCTTAATAGTAGTCGTTAAACATTTTTGAGTTAGATTTACTCAGATTTCACATCCTTTCATGTTTCAGTTTTTTCAAACATGTTCCATATAGTTACCGGGATATTTAATATTTGTAATTATAACTAGCATTATAATGCAACGCTGCACTTGTAGCGTTCTTAAGTCCATCAACTACGCACTTTCACATATGTAGAATATTATAGGCAGCCCATGCGTATTTTCTGTAGTAAGAGATGAAAGAATTTGTTAAATATTTCTCGTCGTTATAATTTTCATCATTTTTTTTTGATAGCAGTATCATAAAACGCCCTCATAATATAGATGGAGAAAAATGAAAACAGAAAATTATAACCTGTTTGGTCCTTGTTTAAATGTAAAACTTTCATTCAATGAATGTGTGTTAATAAAATTTGCTATTCATTGCAAGACTTACTGTGCCAATTTGTTACCTTCAAGCGTGTCATTATTTAAAAGAGGACGCAGCCACCTATATACTAAATTGATTCTAATCTTTAAGATTAAATAAGCATTCATTGCATTAGTTCACAGTAAATTGCCACTAACGTTTTCTCACTTCTAGTGATTCTCCTTTATGTATGTGATTTGTATGTCTATATGTAAAATTGTACATAGTATGGTAAATGATTGTTGTGTTCAATGATGTTTCAAATAACGATGTTTCAAAGAGTTGAATGTTTTTCTTCGTCTTTAAGCAATTAATCGATAGAACAGAACATTTTCTTAGTTCTGTTCATTAGAGCGTGGTGATAGATAAGCAAATGCAATGGTTGTGTTTGTTGTACGTCTCTCTCTCTCTCTCTCTTTAGCTGGAGGTATGATGTCTTCAATAATAGGACCAAGCACTAGTATAATATCAGATGTACTATAATTAACAAAATAAAAGTCGTGGACACAGCTTCTTGATGAATGTCAGACAGTCAACCTGATTTTAAGTCTAAAAATCTTGATTTCCATATGCGCAGTTTATAATTTTACAGCATAAAAATTGTCAATATCTTGTCTGTTTCTAAAGTATTTATTATCATTTCTACCCATATCGTCAGAATTTGTATTTGTTTACATGAAACAAAATTCTGTTTTTTTTAACAGATAAATTCTATTTTATTAACAAATTTATTTAGGGAAAACAGTAGATAGTGATACATTTCAAAACAGAAAATAATTGGCTTTGGAAAACTGATAAAAAACAAACACTTAACGACTATTTTTCAGTTGACACTCATGTCAGTTTCTTGTTTTAAGTATTTTGGATAATAAATGATTCTTTCTAAATGTTTTTTGTATGTGAATCTCAAAAGCAGCACACTCTCTCTCTCTACCTGATCATGTACTTAGATTAATGAACTAAATTACTTAAAACGTATCTAGCCCACCCATAATATCTAAATTTGTTTCAAATGTATAATATTGTAGCTAATGACGTTATTGATGATACCTAAGGTATGTAAACGATCAAATTGATGAGGTGGTACGTCCTCAGAAAAATGTCTTTCTCTCTCATTCACTTACATGTCAATTAGAAAATTTATTTGTTTATAATTCAAAAACAATATTTTGTTTGAAACATGATCAAGTGCATAAGTGATGGAGGCGGGTATTTTAGAAGTAAAAACTATTCTAACAAACATGATAACAATACGAGATATTTCTGACAAAATCAGATGTATGATGGTATGTATACTGAATATACTTCTTTTTTTCGAAAATGTGTAAGAATCTAAATGTAACGTACAATTGCGTTTTCTCTATATTATACATTGTTAATGAATATAGAAGTCTCACATGTTCTGTCACAAATATGACTCTATCTGGCGGAGTAGACGTCACTATTGTTCTCTAAATAACAGTAGCGTCTATCCCATCTCAAGGTTTCAACCATTTGGTTCTTCCTCTACACTGAAATCGCGTCTGGAATCTTCATGGATTATGAGCGAACTATTAAAGTAAAATCTCACCATTACAAGAATTCACAGCGTTTAAAGTTTTTTATCGAGCAGTTTAAGCCTTCCGTCTGTTACAAGTCAAAGTTATCCACTAAAATTTTTTATTTGAGACAACTTGCCTTAACCATATCAGAGGATGGCTGCCACTGCTAAACAATTTCATATTCATGCTTTCGTGAAAGTTGTTTTTATACTGGTATTTTCTCAAACAGAATAGAGTGAAAAATTGAAATGGTCTAATTAAACATGTTTACGTTTTTTATTTCTTTTTTCGATATAGTCAGCTTTTCAACGCGTTATATATATATATAGGGAAGATTTGTATTCTTATAATATATCATAATATACGTTTAGTGTATAAGTTCGATTTTTTGACTGACACTAAACACTTTTTTCACACCACCATCACATATCTACAAATTTTTTTCTCTTGCGCTTCTTGAGACGAATATATATATACATACACATATTCAAACTTGACTGAATGATAAATAAAGTCGGGAAATCGACATAAACGAGTGAATTTAAGAAAAAGAAAGCAGCAGCACTGTTCAAAAGAGTGTTTTATATCACTCTGTGTTTTATTTTTAAACTAGATATTTATGTTTAACTTATACTAATTGGCTGAATTTATTCGCAAGCACACAAAACGTCTTGTTATATCGGATGATATCAAACTAATTGATCACAAAGAAAATGAATCGTTCAAAAGTAGTAAGTAAAGTTTACTTTTTTAAAATTTAGATCAATTAGACGGGTTCGAAACAAACTGTGGACTCACGTACTGCCTCTCGAACGAAAAGTTTTATTCACAGTTTCCTGACTAATCTAGAACTATTGCCTAATTCATGCAGAAAGAAACATTCAGAAAGAGTAAGCATAATTTTCTACATCCGCCGTTATAGCTCCAGGAAAAAAATTTGGGGGTGTTTATGCTTACACAGACTGACTACTTACCTAGTACCGGATGTCTTTTCAAAATACTAAACCACGTCATTAAAAATGCAGGATTATTGTCAGTTATCAGTGATGATGAGTGAAAACTGTCGACTTCTATCCTTAATAAGATGGATCGCTAATTTGAAAATATTACTGGTAACTGTTCTTTTTTCATTCGTTGTTTTATTCTGCAATTCTTGTATTATATAAAAAACATTTCTCAAAAACCTAGGTAAGATTTAGATTTTCAATTACCTCTGATAAATTTACACTCATCTTTATAGGAAAATGTTAGAGAAAAGAATCAAATGACGAGATTCAAACTCGTAATGTGGACGAGGTGACAAAAAAACTGGCCAGTAATCGTGAAAATAACCAGTAAAAGTTGGCAGAATTGGCAGAAAAAGCCACTTAATTATTAGTAAATTGAACATTTTTTGCTGATTTGTATGTCTAGAGGAAATCACTTATCCACGTATGAACTTCCGGTTTCATTTTTCTACTGTTAATGTCATTTTATCATTCTTTATATTCTAATTTGATTTTTGTTGTTGTTGTTCATATATATATATAATAGGTATATGTATCTATTGATAGTAGACGCCATATTTTTTTGAAATGCATTACACATCGTATATGTATATTCTTCTCTCAATAAGAAGTACTTATCCGTAAGTAAAGGAGAGGGTCATTCATTTTCTTTTACTTACATGTTTCTGTATGTTTGAAAGTGAAAAACTATTGATGCGGATATTATGTATATATGTTAAATGACATCAAAATTCATTTTTTTGGAAGTGACCAAGGGTAAAAATCTGAAGGATGTTTAAGTAAAACATTTTAGAAACTTTGACGTATAAGAACAATTGTCACTTATCAAAATGGCATATTCTTACTATATTGCAGTGACCACAACAGAATGAGAACATTTTATGACAGAAAAGGAGAAAAAAACCAACTGCGATCGTATATTTATTTTCTTTTGTTTCATTTGAACAATTTTTTCTTTTTCGTTGATTTATTATTATTTGTAGAATAAAAAAAAAAGAACACACTACACGAAAAAGAAATCGTTCATGTATGTGTGTCACCATACATAAAAATCTTCTTTTCATTTTGTAACAAATCTTCTCTATTTTCTGAACGCGAAACTGTGGGATATTTCATACGTACATACATACATACTTACATGTACAGCAGAAACAATACGCGAACGAATTAAGAGGAAAAAAGAGAGAGAGAGAGAAAGAAAGGAAGAAAGAAAGAGAAAGATAGATCAATCAGGTGTACTATAATTTTTTTTGTGCAACATTCATCTCTCTAGACATCACAGAGAGTTGAACGAAGTATAGGGAGACGGTTCAAAATAAATAAAAAAATCTTGTTTGAATAGTTTTCTTTGCTTGAAACGTAAGTATTAGTTATTATTGTCGATGTCTTTTCCTCTATGTTGTTGGTTAATACGTTAATTACAAAAAAAGAATACTTGAGCTAGCGAAAAAATACTAATTCTAGTCAGATATAGATCAGTAGTGGAAGAAATTTGATAATCGAATACCATTATCTTTTCTACAGAATGTAAGATTTTACAAAGAAGCTCTCTTTCATAAAGATCATTATTCTCTTAGTAAGAGTTCTATCACGGTATTCTACGTCTGAAGAGAATTCTTATAGATCCCCATGACAGGTTGTTTACATCTTTTGATGAACCGAATCTTCTCGATATATTACAGAAATCTTATAGGATCGTATAGCACTGCTGTGGAAGTTGATGATGAAATTCTCCTTTTCGGTTTTTAGTATTAGGTTTCAGTCTTTCTGAATTCATCTCCTTTTTTAACTCTTAATATTTTTCTTTTCATTTAGATCACTACAAAGAAAGAACGGCGTTCTAATACTGAAACGAAAAAGAATAATAAAAATTCAAATTTGTTCGAAGCACTTCCCGCTCTCGTGATGATCAATTCTTCACAGGTAAAAATGTCATCACCACAATCGTCATCAACATCAACAAATGGTTCCGCTCATGAATCTGATTCAAAAGCATCTATGTATGATACAGTTAAACCAACATCGGTTGAAATCAACAGTTTACCATCATTAAATGGTAACAGTAATGGCATTTTCGAGAATAATACAGATAATTCGATACCAGCAACATCTTCGTCGAAATATGTTTTAAAATTAAAAGTGGGTGGTCATGATGAAAACAATTTGGTTGAAACACCAAAAACTACAAACGATGTGAATGGTCATCATTCATCCCAAGGCGATCCCGTTAAACCTCCATTAGAACCCCTAATTGTTCGTGAAATGCCTAAAGAAAGTTATAATAATAATAATAGCAACAATAGTGTAATTGAAGATTTAATATTTGGCACATTAGCAAAGTCTTCAAAGGTTTCAAACGGAGATGTTGAAAATGAAAATACTGCTTCTTCTACAGCAACCAATCCTTCCCCACGAAACAATAGTACGGGTGAAATGGATTCTTCTTATAATAACGACAAAAATCTTGGCTCAAGTATGATTAGTGATGTGGGTTTTGATAGTGGTCTGGCATCATCAACCGCTACACCAACTCCATCGATATTACCATCTGATGATGACACGAGTGGCTCGTCGATTTCATCCGTTAAACTAAATCCATCCACATTGAAAAATATAAACGAGAACGATTCATCCGCTACTGCAACCACATTCGATACAGCATCAATATCGAGTTCAACAACAGTTACTGGCAGTATGTTTGATGATCGTAAATTCGATATCGACGAACCGAAACATGATGCTAATCAAGGGAATGGTGGTGTTTTTCAACCTGAACCAAGTTCAGTTAAAGATACTGTTAAAGTGTTTGAAGCAGCATTAGCCGCTGGTAATGAACAACCGCCGTCATCGTCAACAGCACAAGGCAAAAAAGCATCAACAATGAAAACGTCACCAGTTACAAAAGATCGTCCAGTAACGAAAGGTTCCAATAGTTTTTCATCAAGTGATAAAATTAAATCATCAAAAGATCAGATATCACCGTTAGGGTCGTCAATCGGTTCAAGTGAAAGCTTTGATACAGCATCTACAATATCCTCATCTTCAGTTATAACAGGTGCGAGTACCGGTTTAGGACAACCAGAGCAGAAGGACACAAAATCAAAATCATCTAAAAAACGTCCATCACTCAAAAAACAAATACAACATTTACTCAAAATTGATAAATCTTCATCATTACAACACGATGGTTCACATAAACAAGAAAATGTTATTCAAGAAGAACCAATAACATCGTCACCATCAATGTTATCAACAGCAACAACGAATAGAAAGGCAAATACATTGAATTCACGAAATACAAAATCAGATAAACGTGATAAAAATGGTACTGATGGTATGTGTAGTTGATTTATTCGTAGTTTTAGAAACTTGACGTATGTGTGAGTCGATATACTCATATTCTGTTTTCTGAGAAGGACTATGGTTAATTCATCCCTTTTTCAGTCACTTAATTTGTGTCCAATAAATGCGTTAGAATAAAAAATTCAGGATTTTGTATAAATATGCAGTCTACCAAGGAGATATTAAAAGTAGTGGAAGAATGCAAAGATGTTTGAGTATTGCATTGAGTATATAGCTACTACTACTATTAAGTTAGATATTAATTTCTTATTAGAGATCCTTGCAAATCGTTGCCATATAAGTTGACTTTAGCAAAGAGAACGTCGTTGTTTTGTCATGATAATATATGATGGAATATATAACACTATATAGATGTGTTTTACAAGTTTTTCTCTATCTTATTTACTAAAAGGGTTATAGAATACGATTTGTATGGATGATGTTCAATAAGTGAGGATGTATCTACATATGGATAAATGCAATATGCCATTTATCATCATGTATGTGCGTTGTACGCGAATGAATAAAAGTTTTTTAACACCTTTCTTTTGTTCTGCTTCAATGATTTTTATTTTTATTTTTTAAAATTTGTTTTCTAATGCAGGTGGGCGTATGTTATTAATCACTCTATAGTGCCATATAGATATGTCATATAGCACTATATAAATGTATCTTCTTGTTTTCTTGCTGTTTTAGCTAATGAAACAAAATCGCGTACATCCCCGTTACATAGTCCAGATTCATTGAATGGAAAATATGACAAAGATTTATCATCAATGCTAATGGATGAACAAAAAGCAAATATATTTAAAAAACGTCCATCACCTTCTACATCATCATCACAACAACAACAACAACAAAAACGTACATCACCAAGAGAATCTGTTGAAAAAACGCAGACAACAACAAAAGTAACGGAGTTTAATATGAATCCACCAATTTCAAGAACAACGGAACCATTAGAAATTCGAATATCTAATGATCATGTATTTACAAAGAAAAAATCTGTTTCACCATCATCAACATCAAAAACAGAAGGATTATTACAACAAAATGATGGTATAATATCTGATAAAATGGCTGCTACAAGTGAAGTGGATGGAAAACGTTTAGGTGTATCAAAGTTAATCTCAGCGTTTCAAACATCAAATAATAATCAATATGGTACTGACGGCAATAGTGAGTTAGAACAAACGATACTTGTTCCAAGGTTGCAACGATTAAGCACAAGTCCAGATATAGCGGTTAGTAAAAATTCTTTCGTTTTTTGTTGATAAGTATGAGATGTTCTTTGTCTCTTTCAACATCTCAGTAGTGGTAGTAGAATAAAAATGATAGAAATCAATATCGATAGTATTGATGATTATCTCGTCATGAGGCCACACATTTTTCTAATACGATTGAGATATAGTTCTTATTAGTGTTTTACTGCATAAAATTTTAATTTATTCTATTTAAAATCAAATAAGAACACAAAAAAATTCAAATTAGACTAAATATTATACATTTTTAGTTGTCTTAAATTGAAACTGGATTTTTAATATGGACAATAGATGTGTTTACGCACATCCTTCTCGTGTTTTATTTGATATATAAAATCTCTTTGACGGTTCTGATATCAAAGATAGTACAGTTGATGTGATTTATACAATCATGATATAGCTTGTAAATCCACCGTATATCGTAAAAAAATTAGCTTCGGTTTGTTTGATATACAAGAAACGTTATTTTGTTTGCTTTCTACATGTATAAATGAGAAAGAAAACCAAAAAAAATCGCGTTATAAGTGATCATCAAAGATTAAAAGTAAAGATAGGGATAGTCATATTGTCATTTTGAGGGTGAATCAACAGATGACTTGATTGATTATTTTTTTTGATGGTTCAAATTGGTTTTCTTATTTATTGCTATTTCGTAAATGAAGGGTTTGAAATACATTTTAAACGATATAGAAACAATAATATCAACGTCTTGATGATGAATAAGAATTCTTCGAAATAGCACCAGTTACATGATGTGTTTTTTTTCCTTCATCACTTTTTTATTTCAAGTTTATGATTGCGTAGCTAAAATTTTTGTGATGCGTAATTGTTTTTGCATGTTGTTATTGCTATGTTACGATCGGTCTAGCCAATTTTCTTTGATTTATTATTAGTGAAAAACGTTTTCATGCAAAAAATCTAAAAAATGGTTATGGACATTAATAACTACAGACGTATATATGATGTATTGAATATTGAACAATAATTAAAATTACGTTTTTATTGTTGATGACACACAAAAACACACAGTGTTGTAAGGTTGCTAAGCTTGAATGCACATTTGGTGATGTTCATTAAGTCGTTGTTCTCATAACTGATGTTGTTTTACTTTCAATTTTTTTTCTTTTTTTTGTGAAATGCAATATTTATTTATGTCTTCTTTCGAATAATTTAAAATTGATTATTTGTGTTATTTATAGATAAAAAAGTTAAGTTGATTGACAGCTCTATTTATATAGGACAGGACATACATCTATATTTATCAATTAAAGTTTGATCCAATACATATATATCAAGTGGAAATACGTTGTATGTGTAATTGTTAAAAAGAAGAATATAAAAGTGTTCTTTTATATGTCTATGGAGAATGAAACCTTAAGTATTTAAGGAGAATATTAATAATTCAATAGAAGAGAAACAGAAAAAGTATATAGAAGCACTCTATATTGTAAGAAGTCTTTCCATTTGAGGTTTTTCATTTGTCAAGTAACAGAAAATAAATTATAAAAGAGAAGCTTTTGAGGCACAACTTAAATACTCGGATACGATGTGATATAACACTTTTCTTAGCCATATCATGTTAATCTGTTCAAAAATAGAATTAAACATGTAGTGTTTGTCTGATATCTCAGTTTGATTTACTATCACTAAACAAAACTAATCTTTCGTTTTTGTTATTATGCACATGTAGAAGATATGATGATCGTCAATTTTAATGTAACAAATTAGAAATTTAGTTAATATACTCAAATCTTCGTATAACGAAATTCTATTCTAATTACGAGACAGCCCCTTGTATTTTGGGGACTGATATTTTTGATTGACACAGTTTAAATCGAATTCATATTTTCTTTTGTTCAACAGGTTGCTGTTGATGAATAAATTTGATAAAGAAACATGATCTTTCATAGAAACACTGCATATAAAACTACTTTCGTAACTTTTAATCAAGAAGCCCTTATACAGTTAAAGTTCAAAAGAAAGTAGAGTGCCTTTTTCAATTTCAAGAACTTTTTTTTTGTTGTAAATGTTACAAAAGCTCTTTTTTTATTTGATATATTGACAGTAGTCTATTTCATTAGTTCAATTTATTATTGGTAAAATTTCAGCTGAGGTTTGAACATATAAAACGCACACTTCCACTTTTCTTCCGTATACACACTCGTCTTATTTTCTGGGAGCATTCAGAAATAAATTGGTACCGTGTTAAATTCTAATTAGTCGTTGCAAAACAAAATTTACCTTAGGTTAAATCAACAAAAACTCGTAACGAAGATTATATTTCTTGAGATTTCGTTTATATTTTTTATTGTACAATCGTTCTCTCTTTCTCATACACACAATGATACATTTGTTTTAAATGAAATTTGTACTTTATGATGAAAAGTATACTACTCATATGTTATTGCCACAATGATTACATAATTGGAAGAAGAAAATAGAAATTCCATTTTTTTTTGTTTTGTTAATAGTACAAATGTGTGTGTGTGTGTGTATGCGTATACTTGATCTGATCAACATTTCTTGCAGTTGACAAACACCATAGTATTCAAAAATGTGTATATGCCTAAAATTAAAGAATTAATAAAATAGATAATATTAAAAATGTTTGTCTTGTCTTTTCTCATCCTTATTGTCTTATCTTGCGCCAACATTAGCTCGACAATATCATTGCCTAGCGGCTAAACATTATCAATATTCTACTTAGCTCGTTCGACTGTTAACAATATACAATGTGTGCTATGACCGAGACAAATTGAATAACCTTTGACTTTTCTTTGATGATTCGTCGAGTAACACAGAGAATAATAAAAAGCACTTATCGAAGATTTTTGAGGTAGATTAACTTATGGCTACTATCTCTCTTGTTAAGATATTTTGTCACGTGTCTAAAAGTGAACACTATTGTATTTTGTTCGTTTAATAGAAATACATGCTTCAATACGCACTTATCCTATACATATGATCATCATTTGTGTAAAAATATTAATAGAACATAGATTTTGAGCAGTTTTTTAAACATGACCGATAGAATCGCATGTATAATTAGAAGATGTTCATTAATTTGTTTTTCTTTTCTCTCTCACTCACATCAGTTTATCATATATCAATTTATTGCTGTTAATTAAAGATATTTAGCAATGTAAAATGGACATTTGTGTGTATCATTAAAGCTGAAAGATAAATTCACATGTATACATTACGATGATATTCAGGGATATATGCAGCTTTTCTCGCTTCACACTTTGAACAAAATCTGATAATTCATCTTTTAGAACTATGCAATTAGTAATAGTCGAATTTCGTTGTATTCTTTCCTAATGAGTGTACTTGATGCAAGTACTTGATTACTCGCCGAGTACTTGAACAAGACTTTGGCAAGTGCTTTTACTTTCCAAGTTCTTGACTAAGTATTCGCCAAATATTGTCACTCGATTCACTTCAGCCAAGTACTTGAACGAGTCAATCACCCTTTCGTTTGCATCGACCAGTCATATAGAAACGTCACAGTATCAACCGATATAAACTTAGAAAATAGGTATTTCTATTGACTTGAAAAACTGGGTGGCCATGCATGCTTCTACACTACAAATGTAGGGTATGGCTGCAAAATACGTACAAATACAAAATAATAAGATAAATAGAGCAAAGACTTGACTGAAGACTTTTACAAGTACGTTTACTTGTACTAGGCCAGCCAAGTGCGTTGGTCAGTACTTTGAAAAGTAAATTCAAAATACTTGTAAATAAAATTACTCGTAGAAAACCATCAGAGACTGGTTTGTAGCAAGCACCTTTTCAAGTACTTGGATTCAAGCATATTCACTAGAACTGGCCCTAGACTACATAATTATTTTTAGAAATATAAAGAGGAAATATTAATATCATTGCTCGAAAATTCGAAAGCTAGCAATAAAGGCATAATGTTTAGATATTGTTAGGAGATTATTTGAAGAGAAGTAAATGTTGTACTTATTTATATACAAACCTTTGCAGAGAGCATAAATCAGACAATTCACGCGGTTCAAGATAACCTAAAACGAAAATGATGCAGACACTGTCCATATGCCGACGTTGACAGTGTCGACGCTGTTTTTGTAGCTCATCTTAACTGCATTCCCGTGAATGTGCTAAATCCAGGCACGCGATCAGTAGATTTACTGAAAAGTTTTTACAAGTGTTTAGATGGGCTTCTTGCTAGAACCCATTTAGTATTTGAATACTTTGGAATCAGTATGTAAACTAGTGATCTCACGTCGTTTCGTAAAGCGCCATCTAAGACTTGATGTAAAACTGTGTAATAGCGACATAGAGGATACTGAAGTAAATTTTTCTCACGCAGTACGAACAGAAGCTTTAGAACTGCATTATACAACAGTAGAAGTATTTTGAATCATCCGATATCTCCCAGTTCTTTTTTGATCAAGATGGAAAGTGAAATTTTGATAGAAAGGGGTAAAAAAGAAGATTCTACAGAAAGTGTGAATTTATACGCATTCCGTTAATTTAGATACATTCCGTTTAAGCCGGTGGCGTAGCCAGGATTTTCTTGACGCTCGAGTAAGTTTATACCAAGACAACAGAAAAATTTGGGTTTAAACATAAATGGGCAGAACATTTTCCTGTAGGAAAAAAATTCTGACGAAAAATCAAAACTCAGCGGGACTGATCCCCTTGATCGGAACCGAGCGTCCTATTAAATGTGATTGATACTTCATAGAGTGACTTGAAACAAATGTAGAATATCATATCTGACATGACTGAAATTTGGCAGCCTTTTTTGTTTGAGTAGTAGATAATGCATCGGTATTCTTTTTACTACATTCAATTATTGTCCCTTCTTTTTATGACAAGATATGGCGTACAATAAACGTCTTCTCTCAACAATAATTGAACTAGACATAATCGCCTACTTGATGGACTTGATAAATACGTTCATATTAACTATAAGTTTTAACTTAAAAGAAGAAAAGTAAAGCGAGAAAGTCCAACGTATATATACACTCTTTCGC